GAAAGAAAGAAAGAAAGAAAGAAATTCAAATCTGTGAAGACAGAGATTCAGTCTTGGTAGGTCCTGTAAACATAAGCTTATTAAGACATACGGAATAAATGAAATAAAAGAAAGATGGCTTATGGAATTTAAATTTAAATCAAAATTTGCTTAATGACTAAGTAAGAATCTTTAGAACAACCAAAAATAAAAATGCTAACACAAAACCTCAAAAATTTTCACAAAAGTTATGAATTATAAATATAATTCACAGGGCTGGGAAGGTGGCTCAGTGGTAGAGCGCTTGCCTTGCATGCATGGGGCCCTGGGTTCAATTCCTCAGCACCACATAAGCAAAAACAAAAAAGCCGGAAATGGCGCTGTGGCTCAAGTGGTAGAGCACTAGCCTTGAGCTAAGGAGCTGAGGGACAGTGCCCGGGCCCAGAGTTCAGGCCCCATGACTAGACCCAAAGAAACAAAACAAATAAATATAATTCACATAAAAAACACAAGTCTGAATTTCAAATAGAACAAAAGAAATTCAATTATTATTAAGGATATAATCTCCTGAGCAATAATTTTTTATTTTGATATTACAACACTATAAATTTGATAAAATGATTATAGTAGATTGTTATCTGAGTAACACAGGCCTTCAAGCATGATAAGTAAGCTGGGCACTGGTAGCTACTCAGAAGTCTGAGACCTGATAACTTATAACATCTAGCATAGGCAGACAGACCTCTTATCTACAATTAGTCAGAAAAAAGCTGCAACTTAAAGGCATGGTTCAATAGAAAAGTGCCAGCAATGACCAAAAAAAAGCTGAGTGAAAAGGGCGAGGGCTTAGATTTAAGCCCTAATAATCAATTAATCAATCTCTCTATCACACACACACACACACACACACAATTTCAAAAATTGTAAATGTTTTCATGACTGCATAAGCATCTGAGTATTTCTTTAATTATCCAAAGTCAGTGTCAAAGATCAAAACCTATTTAATACTTTATGAATAATATTGTCATATGCTATCATATAGTTTTACTGAACTATATGCTATCATATAGTTTTATGAATAATATTGCCATATGCTATCATATAGTTTTACTGAACAATTTTTTTTTCTTGCATGATTATCTGGGGACATCACTAGTTAAAAGTTGTATTACCTGTGGGCTGTGTTGGTTTGTTCCATGTGGACTAGTGCCAGAAAGAAATTTCACTAACACATGAATAAGGTTTGGATCTGAAACCAACAAATGAGCAGTACTTTCCTGAGTCCCAATGACACTGCTGGAACCAGCTAAAGAGAAAAATAAATTAATAAATAAGTAACTCTACCTTTTGTAAATGAGCCATAAAACATAGAAATGCAATGTCTACCAAAATCTTTTGGTTTTAAGAAAAACTCACATATTCTCATTAAATAGGAGTTCATCCAATCTCTACTCAATGGAAACTTCATTTTATTTTTATCTACCACATATGTACTCTAAACTCTCCTTGACTAAGAAAATATCTTTAGTTTAATATATATCTTTTTTAGTCAACTGGAAAGGAAATAGCTAAATCCTCACAGACCTATTGGAAAGTCTATTCTTAGTAACCATCTCTTCCTCCACAAACAGAAAGTAGGTCTTCTAAGATCAATCTAGGCAAAAAAATTCCTTTTTGCATGTTAATTATATACGGGTTATATTTTCTGCTTTAATGCTTAGGGAACACGCCAGTTTGCTGAGCTGATTAAACATTCTTTGCATTAAATTTATCTTCAGTTTTAGTGATACTTTTGAATCCATTTTTGGATATATAGCCTAAACAGGAAAATAAAATAGCACTTTGATGCTAATTAAATAGTTTAAATAACAGCTTTATCAATGTGAAAATGCTTTTACTCAATGAAGTTTTCTTTAAAAGACACAAAATCCAATAAATTATTACAATAACCTAAAGATTAAATATGACAGAATTCAAAGGAATTCAGTCATTTCATAGCTATAATAATTCAGTCATTCAACAACTACACTTTAAGATTATGAGAGCATATATATTAAAGTATCTGTTAAAGATTTAAATAAATAAAATTTTAAACTTACAATTAAGCTGCATGTTTGTCATGAGTGTTAGACTATGAAGTACAAGGCACCAGGTCCGAAGTAATGTATTGGGATACCAAGCTAGCACAGTGAGAAAGCTACTTATTGATGCTACACAGAAAAGACAAAGAAAAAAACTGTTTCATTGAGCAGAAAAAAAAATGCTAAAAATCTTTAATCATTAAAAACTAAAAATAGAATTTCCTTAAATCTCCTCAAAATCTTCTTCAAAATATGTAAATGGAAACAGTTCCCCATGAAATATAACCTAGCCAGGTGCTGGTGGCTCATGCCTGTAATCCTTGCTACACAGGAGGCTGAGATATAAGGATCATGGTTTGAAGCAGCCCGAGGAGGAAAGTCCCTGAAACTCTAATCTCCAATAAGCTACTCAGAGAAAGCTGGAAGAGGAAAAACTTGAACAGAGTAAACAACCAAAATGAATGACACCTCACAACAAAAGGCAAAACTCAAAAAAAAAAAAAAAAGATAATTTATAAGCCCAAAGAGGAAGATTTCCTACCTACTAGAAAAGCTGAAGAGTTACTCAAAAGGCACTGTATACAGGTTACAAAGCAGAGTCTACAAAGAACACCCAGCTCAAATGTACTTTTAAAAGATATTTTGCCAAATTTAAGTCAGGAAACAAAAGGATTTTTAAAAAGATTGAACCCAAAACAAAGAAATATCTTTCCACAAATAGCAAATATTCAGTACTAAGTTTAATAATTACAAAAGAACTATGTTTAAAATCTAGGAACTTAGTTATTAAAGAAAGCAATTAGACATGACTGGATACTCAAATTTGAATCTCTCCCTCCCTCCCTTCCTCCCTCTCTCTCTCTGTCTCTGTCTCTCTCTGTCTCCGTCTCTCTCTCTTTGTGCCAGTCCTGGAGCTTGAACTCAAAGCCTGGGCTCTGTTCCTGAGCTTCTATGTTCAAGTCAAGCACTCTACCACATGACAAACAGCTCAACTTCTGGCTTTTTAGTGATTAGAGGTAAAAGCCTCACAGACTTCAAACCGCAACCCTCATACCCAAGCCCCATGTTCAAGCTCCATGACCAACAGTATTTCAGCTAATACAGGAGACAGAAATGAGAAGTAAACTACCAGCAGTTTTTTTTTTTTTTTTTGGGTCCGGTCATGGGGCCTGAGCTCTGGGACTGGGCGCTGTCCCTCAGCTCTTCAGCTCCAGGCTAGCGCTCTACCACTTGAGCCACAGCGCCACTTCCGGCTTTTATCTTATGTGGTGCTGAGGAATCGAACCCAGGGCCTCGAGCATGAAAGGCAAGCGCTCTACCACTGAGTCACCTTCCCAGCCCAACTACCAGCAGTTTTAAATCTCTATTAAGCCAAGGAAATGTGCATTAGTATCTAGTATCTAAGATGTAGTGCTAACATAATAAAAAAGAGAGAGAGAAAAAAAAACAAGAAATTTTCTTAAAAAAAAAAAGTAAAACAAGGCCAACTGTGTTATTCCATGTTATGTATAGATGTAATCTCAATGCTCCAGAGATGAATGAAGAGGATCTTGAGTTAAAGGCTAGCCTAAGCTAGAGACTATATTTCAGGAAAGGAAAAGGGAAAGGCCACAGAAGCAAAAGTTTGGAGTTGTTTCTTTTTTTTTAAGTGGGCAAATGGAGGCACAGAAATGGAGGAAGGAAGGGTAAGTGAATGAAATTATGGTATACAACATATGCTATGAAAAAAATGAACTATGCAGTTAGAGGGGTGTCTCAGGTTGCAGAGCACCAGCCCAAGAATGGGAGTCCTGGCATTGTATTAGGTAACAGTAATAACTATGCAGCTTGTGGGTATAGACAAGAGGGGAATACTGGAGTAAAGCAAAGAAAGGGTGACAAGAAAATGTGTACTCACTACCTGATTTACAGAATTGTAAGCCCTCTGTACAATACCTTAGTAATAATAAAATATTTATGAGAGAACATTCGAGAAAGTAAAAAAAAAAAGTCTGACAAGCCTATAATCCTACCTACTTAGAGTGGAATTTAGGAGATTCAGGTTGGCGGGATTAAATTTAGCCAGTCTGTCTCACTTCGGTGGACCATGGAGGATGAAAACCTTGTTAGCTCTAGGGAAAGAACTGGTCTGGGCAGAGTGTTGTGGATTTGACAGCTCCAGGAAAGCAGTTAAGTACACAACCCAGAGCACCCTGGACAAAAAGTAGGACTCTACCTCAAAAAACAACCAATACAATAAGGTTCTGGAGGGCTGGGAAGGTGGCTCAGTGGTAGAGTGCTTGCTTTGCAAGCACGAGGCCCTGGGTTTGCTTCACAGTTTGAAGCCAACGAGAGCAGGAAAGTCCTTGAGGCTGGTCTTTCCAATAACCTACTCAAAAAAATTGGAAGTGGTGCTGGAATTCAAGTGGTAGAGTACTAGCCTTGAGCACAAGAAGCTCAGGGACAGCACCTAGGTCCAGTTCAAACCCCATGACCAACAAAACAAAAATTAAAAGATTAACAAGCTGGAGGATAAACAAATGCTAGCCTTGAGACAGCATCCAGGACACACACACACAAACGCTAGCCTTGAGACAGCATCCAGGACGGACACACACACACACACGCACACACACACGCACACACACACACGCACACACACACACACACGCACACACACGCACACACACACACACACGCCACACACACACACACACACACACACACACACACACGAGGATAGGGATAGATAGGAAGAGGATTTGAAGCCAGCCTGGGCAGGAAAGTCCATGACACTCTTGTCTCCAATAAACCCACTAGAAAACCAGAAGTGGCACTGTGGCTCAAGCAGTAGAGCGCTCCCCTTGAGCTGAAGAGCACAAGAACAAGCCCAGAGTTCAAGCCCCATGACTGACCCCCCCCAAAAAAAAATGGCACGCTGTGGCTCAAGGGGTACAGCAGTAGCCTTGAACCCAAGAAGCTCAAGTGCCAAGACTAGCAAATAAAAACAAGAATAATGTATACTACCCTGGTTTATAATGGAGGAGTTGACATGATAGGAATGTTGAGGTCAAATATAGGTCTGGACCCAAGTTGGCTAACCCCGAGTGCTGAATTTTTCCTGCACATTCTTTAAAATAAAGAGAGTAATGCTAAACATGAGTTTAAAAGTAGACCCTAATCCATGAACCCAATCAAGAACCAATCCATGAACCAATCAAGAGGTGTACCATACTTATAGAATTAATGAATAAGTGAATTCTAAAAAGACAAAAGAGGGCTGAATGTATGACTTTCTAGTACAAGGAACATTATCTTACAAAACAACCAGAAAAAAAAGTTTTTACACTGCTATGTTAAACCTTTATATAATCTAAAAATAATATTTCTATTAATGTCTTACCTTGATTTAATGAAATAACAGGTATTCGATTAGCATTATATAAAAAAATGTCTGCTCCATTCTCTTTATTTCCAGATGAGCTAGAATTCAGACTTAATGTAAGCCATAATTGGAGAAGTGACTCCAACTAAAAAGAAAATGGAGAGGAGGAAAAGAATAGACAAAGTACATATAAATAAAAGTCCTAATTTATAAGCTTGTCATAAGTAAAGAATTTTTAATATTAAATATTTCTTCCAAAAACAAATAAATATTTCTTCCAGTGACTTCAATACATTTGACAAGAAAATACAATTCAAAATTCTTAATAAAACAAATTTTAACTGAATTTAACTTTGCAATTTACCATAAACAAATGTTTACTTAAATTGAAACAGGTGATTCAATTCATTAAATCACAGGGTGATAGTAGAAGACTATTCTTAGTTTATAAAACTAAGAAGATATTAAAGAACTAATACAAGGGGGAAGAGGCATACAAATAAAGAAGAAAGGTTGTGCAAATACCATCATTATGTTCAAAGTACACTATGCAAAAACTGAACTATATAACTTGAGGGAAGGGATGGAATGGGAAACAAAGAAGGAAAACAATGGGAGGAATGATACTAACCAAGATGCACTGTACTCATAATCTACTTCTGAAACTCCTTTGTAAAACTGCTTAATAAATACTTTTTTAAAAAGAAGTCAAAAATCATAAAAACGGTCCATCAATAAAGAGTTATCACTATTAAAGTATTTCTAAAATCTTCTACAATGAGCATAATAAAGAAAATCACATCTGTCAGGCTATGAAAGAAAAACCTTTTAGTGCACCTTTTAACAGACTAGCAATATGTCAAAATATACTATTTTCTCCTGAAGTCATACCTGAACATGATGGACTTGAAGCATGGAAAAAAGTTTGTTGAAACAAACATTTAACATTGGGACAGATGATGACTGTATAATGAGCTGGTTGGTTGGGTTTGCCGCCTGTAATCCACCTAGAAGGGAATCATCTGTTCCACTAGGAGACTGTGATACTGAAAAGCAAAATACAGATACAATTTTTACCTAACTTTCAGTTATTTCAACTAATAAGTATGTACAGCTAAAAAAATGTTTAAAACACTTGAAAAGCATTCTGTAGAACGATTTAAAGTTATGTACTTAAAAAACTTGGTTTTGTAATATTACAAAAGTAACTAGGACAGTTACTGAGGACAGTATCCCCTCCATTCATAGAGTAATTTGGCCTACAGTCGTGTTTTCACTGTTTACATGCATCCAGTTGTTATATCAGGGTAATAAAGGCTTAACAGAATGATAGAATGTGTTTGATGGCTTTCTTTCTCTTCGCATTTTATAGAACAATTTGAAAAGAATCAGAAATAGTTCTTTTTTGTGTTTTTGGAGGGCCCTCAGTCATAGAGCTTGAACTTGGGGCTTGGGCACTGTCCCTGAGCTCTTTTGCTCAAAGCCAGCACTCTATCATTTTGAGCCACAGTCCAACTTCCAGTTTTCTGGTGGTTCACTAGAGATAAGAGTCTCACAGACTTTCCTGACAGGGCTGGCTTTGAACCTCAGTCTTCAGATCTCAGCCTCCTGAGTAAAACATGAGCCACAAGTACCCTTCATTGTCTGCAATATTCAGAAATGATTCTGGAGAAAACAACAGAAGGGGTGACACTGACCAAAAAGCACTGCACTCAAACTGATAAAATTGAAACCTCTTTATAAACTACTTAATATTTTTAAGTATCAAAAACAAGAAAAATAAGAGGAATTGAGAAGAATTGAGGGAGGGAAAGAGAAAGGGGGAAGAGATTGGTTCTGTCCAGTCAAGAACCTTTCTTCATTCATTCATTTATTTATTTTTTACTGTCTCATTATACATCTAAGCTGTTCATATTCTCTTTGTTAACTTTGGTAATACACATGTATGACTTGCAAATTTATTGGAGATTTTCAAATTATTCCCTGATGATCCTCTGGCTTTCATTGGTATATGTTTTGATATTACCTTTGTATCTCTACATTTGTCTTCTCTTTCTTTTGGTTAATTTGACAGTTTAAACTTTCAAAAATATTCTGTTTCATGGATTCATTGATATTGCTCATTTAGTGTCCATTTCATTAATTTTCACCCTTTAGTAGTTTTTTCAATTTACTAATTTGAGATTAGGTTTGTCTTGCTTGTGTAAAATGCTGAGAAGAATCATTGCACTATTTGAGATCTTCCTAATGTTTTAATGTGGGCAGTAATAGCTATAAATTTTCTTAATAAAACAAACTACTAAATCTCCATTGTTCTAAGTGGTGTTTTCATTTTCAGTTTATTCTACAAGTATTTTAATTTCCTCCCAGATTTCTTCAATGAACCACTGATAACTAAAGGTTATACTGTTAAATTTGTCCGCAGTTTTTGTAGTTTCTCATTATAGATTGCTAGTTTTACTTCTCTATGATTTAATAAGTTACAAAAAATTATTTCAACTTGTTAAAACATTTTTTAGCTTAATATTTGATCTACTTGGAAGAAAGCTCCACTGTTACTGGAAAGAACAGGTGTTTCACAGCTGTTGGAATATAATGTAGATGTCTGTTGAGATCACATGACCTACGGTGTAGCTTAACCAAAGTGTCTTTGCTAGTTTTGGCCTGGATGTCTATTACTAAAATCTGGACATGAAAAGTTACCCACTATTACTATATGTACTTATCTGTTTATATCTAGCAATATTTGTTTTATAAAATTGGAACATTGACATGCTTTGCATATGCATAGTCATTAAATCTAAACACATGCATAGTTCACTTTACTATAGAGTAGAATCTTACTTATCTCCTCTTACTAATGACTGAAGGTCACTGTGAAAGATATGAATATTTTTTAAAAAAATTTTTAAGCCCTCCCCACCTAAAAAAAAAAAAGAGATATGAGTACAGATCTTGGGCTGGCTGTCAGGTTCCAACTGCATGACATACCACTTTCTATCCTTTTACTTTCAATCTGTTCCTATCCTTGCAGTGAGATAGACAACAGATAAAAATTTTGTTCTTATAGACAATAGATAGAAATTTGTAAATCTGTTCTTGCTAAAATCACATGAAAATACTTGGGAAATAAATCCATTGGAATAATCTAACAATGATCATTTTACTTACAGGTAGGTGATGTGCTTGTTAATGCTTGCAAAATGGAATCTGCTTCAAGAGTAGACATCATTTTTAACGTAAGTTCTGCTTGCTGTTCAAGTCCAACTTCCAGGCGAGCATCTAGGGCTACAGAAGCAATTAACAGGGGAAAACATTATTAGTGACTATCATCATAAGATTATTACAGACATAAAAGTAATTTTCTTCATTATTATACAGGCCCTACCTCTTAAAATAAAATGTGTATGTTTTGAATATAAGAAAGAGTAAGGAATGTACCCTTTTAAAGATACAGCATGGCAATACATTATCAGAGCTGGAGCAAGGAAAAATCCTGTTCAAAGGGGGTTAAAAATATGACATTGGTTAAATAAGTGGGCTAAAGACTTAAAGAGAAACTTCTCTGAAGAGGAAAGAAGGATGGCCAACAGACACATGAAGAAATGCTCAACCTCCCTAGCCATAAAAGAAATGCAAATCAAAACAACATTGAGATACCACCTCATCCCAGTTCGAATGCCTATAATCAATAACTCATTAATAACAACAGATGCTGGAGGGGACGTGGCCAGAAGGGAACCTTACTTGTTGGTGGGAGTGTAAACTTGTTCAACCACTTTGGAAAGCAGTATGGAGGTTCCTCAAAAGACTGCACATATAGCACCCCTATGACCCCGCAATCCCACTTTTGGGCATTTACCCAAATATTCACAAACAAGACCACACTAAAGCTACCAGCATGACTATGTTTATTGCAGCCTTATTTACCATAGCTAAGATATGGAACCAACCCAGATACCCCTCAGAAGATGAATGGATCAAGAAAATGTGGTATATATACACAAAGGAATTCTATGCCTCCATCAGAAAGAATGACATTGCCTCATTTGTTAGGAAATGGAAAGACTTGGAAAAACTTACATTAAGTGAAGTAAGCCAGGCCCAAAGAAACATAGGTCCCATGGTTTCCCTTATTTGCAATTACTAGTATATGTCTGAGACAAGCAGAAAAGGTCAGATAAGTTGATGTTAGGGAAATTAACCCTAAGATATGTATTCAAATGTTTTTTTCTTTCATGCGATTGTTTCTAACACATTTATAAGATGATTTCTTTGTTGCTTTGTATGTCCCTCCCCCACGGTATAACCCCTGCTTTCACTGTATGGGGTACAGGTGGATCCATTGCAACAATGAGACGTACAAGTCGTATGTCAAAAACGAACTATACAACTCTGGTAGGGGTGAGGAAGGAGGGTTGGTTGGGGGGGGTGTGGAGGGAGGATGGAATGGGAAAGGGAAACAAAAGAGGAGGATACAATAACTTGCCCATGTAATTGTAACCCCTCTTTACAATTTAAAAAAATGACATTGGTGATATAAATGCAGAAATTGGTTAATTAAAAACTTTAAGTGAAGACAATGGAACATATCTATTAAGCTTTTTGTCTGCTGATGCTGGGAATGAACTCAAGACTTAGCACTCTTCTTGGCTTTTTCATGCCAAGGCTGGTGCTCTACCAATTATGCCATACTTCCACTACCAGCCTTTTGCTGGTTAATTGGAGATAAGAATCTCACATAATTTTCTGCCTGGCTTTCTTCAAAATTGTGTTCCTGAGTAGCTAGGATTATACCAACACTCAGCAATAATAAACATATTGAGAGCCAGGTTTCTCATTCAGAAAGAAATATAACTGTTAAAACAAATCCTACAGTTTCATTGTAACTAGATATGTCAATGTGAATCTCCTATTTAATATACATAGGTAAATGTGTGTGTACAAACATACAAGTTTACTCTATCAAAAGGGCATGCAAAACAGCCACCAAAAATAGCAATAAGTGTGCCTCACCAAAATTATAGTTTCTTAACTATATTCCACCTTTTAAAACTTGAAAATGCATTATATGATGCAAAAGGGAGGGAGGGAGGGAGGGAGGGAGGGCAGGACCAATTTCCAGATTGGGGCAAATAGAGTAAATGATGAGTTTGGGGCATTAGGTTTTTCTCCCAGAAGAAAAAATGCTCACAAAATGATAAGGGCATCTCAAAAAAACTTCAAGAAGGTGGCTCACACCTGTAATTCTAGCCTCTCAGGAGTCTTAAGATCTGAGGACCTCAATTCAAAACCAGCAGAAAAGTCCTTGTGACTCTTATTTCTAATTAACTACCAAAAACAAGAAGTAGAGATGTGGCTAAAGTGGTAGATAATCTTGAGCACAAAATCTCAAGGACAGAGCCTAGGCCCAGTTTAAGCTCCAGGATGGGCACCAAAAATTTAATTTTTTTTAAATTAAAAATCTCAAAGAGACCACATTTAAGGAAATTCTATTCTTCAAGATTAAGACAATTTAAAAAAAAAGAAGATTAAGACAATTTAATCAGGTGCCAGTGGCTCATGCCTGTAATACTAGCTGTAGCTGCTCAGGAGGCTGAGATCTGAGGATCGCAGTTCAAAGCCAGCCTGGGCAGGAAAATCTGTAAGACTCTTCTTTCCAACCACCAGAAAAATCAGAAATATTGCTGTGGCTCAAGTGGTAGAATGCTAGCCTTGAGCTGAAGAGTTGAGGGACAGTACCCAGGCCGGGAGTTCAAACCCCATGATTGACAAAAAAAAAAAAAAAAAGAAGATTAAGACAATTTAAATATCAAAAATAATCTTGTGACTTTACTTGATAATCATCAACTACACTTTAAAGGAGTTAAAATAGCTAGGCCCAAGAGTCACACCTGAAATCCTAACAATGCAACAAGCTGAGATCTGAGGATCATGGCTGAAAACCAGATCAATTACTTCTCCAATTACCACCAAAAAAAGCTGAAACTAGAGCCATGGCTCAAGTGATAATGGGCTAGCCTTGAACACAAAAGCCCAGGACAATGCCAAGGACCAGTTACCTAGGACCTCCTGTGAAAACGCACATGTGAGCATGTGCACACACACGTGCACATGCGCGCGCGCGTGCGCACACACACACACTCACAAGCCTAATAATAAAATGCAAGGAGAAAAATAGACTATGATTTCTGCAACAATCTGCTAAGATACATAACTTGAATCCAAAACATAAGGAAACAATATAAACACAAATTTGGAAGGAGGAATTTATCAAATAACGTTATTGTTTTCAAAATTGTCAAGGTGATTAAAATCAGTTTTTTCCAACTGAACAAGACAAAAGAGATACCACAACTATTTGAATGCATGGTTTTGCACTGGGTCCATGTGTGTAAGTGATATTATATGGAAAATTGCTAAAAGTTAACTCTCAGTATAGAACACTAGTAAATTTCCTAATTTCGGTGAAATGTTTCCTCATTGCTTATGTAGAAAAATGTCAAGCTTTTTAAATCAAACAAAAAAATAATAGATTAGTAACTTGGTCTGAAAAGGTTTAAAGAGGTGTAAGTAACAAACATTTAGTAAACTTGCAAAACTTTTTTTTTTTTTTTTGGTGCTGGTCATGGGGCTGGACCTCAGTAGTCTGGGTGCTGTTCCTGAACTTCTTTGCTAAAGGTTAGCTTAGCACTCTAGCACTTAAGCCACATCTCTACTTCCAGCTTTTTGGTGGTTAATTGGGGATAAGTCTCACAGACTTTCCCGTCCAGGCTGGCTTTGAATTATGATCCTCAGATCTCAGTCTCTTGAGTGACTAGGATTACAGGTGCAAGCCACCAGTGCCTGGCTCAAGATTTTTTTTTTTTTTTTTTGGTCGGTCGTGGGGCTTGAACTCTGGGCCTGGGCGCTGTCCCTCAGCTCTTCAGCTCAAGGCTAGCACTCTACCACTTGAGCCATTCTGCTACTTCCTGTTTTCTGAGTGGTTTACTGGAGGGAAGAGTCTCACAGACTGCCCAGGCTGACTTTGAACCACAATCCTCAGATCTCAACCTCCTGAGTAGCTAGGATTACAGGCATGAGCTAAGCAGTACCCAGCTTAAGATTTCTTTTTTTTTTTTTTTTTTTGGTCGGTCGTGGGGCTTGAACTCTGGGCCTGGGCGCTGTCCCTCAGCTCTTCAGCTCAAGGCTAGCACTCTACCACTTGAGCCATAGCGCCACTTCCGGCTTTTTTCTTTTTGCTTATGTGATGCTGAGGAATCGAACCCAGGGCCTCATGCATGCAAGGCAAGCGCTCTACCACTGAGCCACCTTCCCAGCCCAGATTTCTATTTTTTAAAGTATATGTTTAATGCCTAAATTAGTAAATATTCAATATTTATAAATATTTAATAATGAAAGCGAATTAAAACAAAATCATTACCAACAACCCTCAATACTTTTCTCTTATTTTGAAGTTCCAAACACAGTGACAAGAGAATGCTGCAAATGGTACTCACAATACAAGTTGATAATAAACCTTCCTAGAAAGGCTCCCAGACTTAATTTTTCAACAAAGTATTCATAAATTTACAACTTGCATTTGTTTGCTTTTGAGACTGGATCGTGTCCAGAAGTCAGAGATGGCCTGTCACACATAAGTATCTTGAGTGCTGGGATTAAGACTTATGTCACCCAGACCAGTTGAACAAGTTGTTTTCTTTTTTTGAGGGGGTGGGGGGGTGAGGGGTCGGTCATGGGGCCTGAACTCTGGGCCTGGGCGCTGTCCCTCAGCAATTCAGCTCAAGGCTAGCGCTCTACCACTTGAGCCACAGTGCCACTTCCAGCTTCTTTCTTTTTGCTTATATGGTGCTGAGGAATCGAACCCAGGGCCTCATGCATGCAAGGCAAGCGCTCTACCACTGAGCCACCTTCCCAGCCTGTATTTGGATTTCTTAATGTTGTTCACTGTCTGTTTATATAAAATTGTTTTGGATTACAATTTATTTGCCTTCCCAGGCTGAACAAGTTGTTTTCAAGAACAGCATAAGCCTTAAAATATTCAAGCATACACACACTTACCCTGAGACACTGACACACTAACTGTCTGTGATCCATTCTTTTCTGTATTTGCTGGTGGCTTTGCTACAGGAATTCCCAGACCTCCAATGTAAGGGTTGTAATTGTAGGTACCAAACTCAGCACCCCAATAATCATACCATGTACTGCTTATTGGCTTAAAAAAGATGGAAAAAATTGTGATTAACTTTTTCTTTCCTTATGAGTAACACAAATTTACATTATTTTAACTTAAACTGAACTAAATACTAACACTCTCCACACCTTTTAAATTCTCACAACCTATTCATAATTAAAAATATTTACAAGAACTTATAATTCATTTTCAACAGTGTCTATTGAGTACCACTGCTACATTTGTTCAGCCTTATAGCACAAGTCGTTTTTTTTAAGATTACCTCCATTTCATTCCTTTTCTATAGTGTGTGTGTGTGTGTGTGTGTGTGTGTGTATATATATATATATATATATATAAGTTTAAGGTATTTTGAATATACTGATTGGCTGTTTAGAAACATCTACTTTTCTCTTTTAAGTAATTAATACAAAAGAAGTCTAAGAAAAAAACTTGTGTTGCAAAGAATGTTCTAACAACATACCTTGAAAACTTTGGCTGCAAGAGGATCCTTTTCCAAATCAATATCTAAAGGATCAATGTCAACTTCCATTAGATCTTGAAGTAGCTCAAGATCAATTTCTTTATCTTTTTCCAAAGAAGAAAGAGGAGGTGTACCTTCAAATAATTGAAAAAAACGTATTGGTGAGTAATTAACATAAACTTAAATGAAACATTCCTTTTAGTTGCAAAAAACAATGTATTTTCCTCTAAGGAATATTGCAGGGCACTTGTGGTTCACCTCTATAATCCTACTCAGTAACCTGAAATCTAAGAATAGCAGTTCAAAGCCAGCTAGGGCAGTAAAGTCCATGAGACTATTCTCTCTAATTAAGTACCAAAAAGCTGAAAGTTCAGGGAGAATGTCCAGGGCCTGAGTTCAAGACCTAAAACTGGCAACAACAACAAAAAAAAAAGTATGCCTGATTTTAAAAACTACATTTTTACAAATCAACAAGTAACTGTTAATCAATATGGAAATGTATCACTCCATAAAATATAATAAAAACAAAAGGCAATGAAGTTTTGGTTTTGTTTTCTCCCCTCCCTGGTCCTGGGGCTTAAACTCAGGGCCTAGGTGCTATCCCTGAGCTTTTTTATTTTCAAGGCTAACCCACTACTACTTGAGCCACAGCTAAACTTCTGCATTTTAGGGTAGGAGGAGGAAGGTGCTGGAGAGGAACGGGGAATGGGAAATGGGTAGGTAGTTAATTGGAGATGAGAGCCTCAAGGAGTTTCCTCCTTGGGCTGGCTTCAAAGTACATTCCTCAGATCTCAGCCTCCTGAGTAGCTAGGATTTTAGGCAAGAGCCACCAATGCCTCCCAAAATACCAAAATTTAAACAACTAGCACAAGGCTATTTCATGGTATTTTCATTAGGAAATCAAATATCTCCCTAAATAAAGTATGTAGCATAAAGTTTGTGATTCATAATAACCATTAACATTTCTAGAATGAGTAATATTACTAGCTACGTTATATTGATTACATAATTCATCTTACAGTATTTTATACACTATATCTAGTAGAATTGAAAAGCACAGGTTCAAGTTATAAAACCATTATTTACCTTATTTTTAATTTAGTAATTAGAAATTAATTTAATCTTAAATTTTTAAGTAACTTTCTATAGCATATAACACTCAATTTCCCATCTTTCTCATTCAGTTATTTAACATGTATTTATAAAATAACTAAAATAAATACTAGCCTTTGCTAGCATTTCAGTATAAATACATGAAGACTAATAAGACAGTTCTCTGCTCTTCAACAGTTAAAGAGTGGAGATGCACTATAAACTACAACATGATAGATATGTGCTGGCAGAGCACAGTGGAAATACAGTGGGCACAGCTCTCAATTCTGCTGGGAGTGACAGTGAACGACTCTTGGAGGCAGGCCTGACTTATGATAATTTGAGATATGGAGGACTTTATCTTGAAGAAAAAGAGTAAATTTAATCCGCATAAAGAGAATACCACGTAAAAGAGATTAGCAAATCTAAGATTAAGGAACAACAAAGAGTTGAAAATAACGACCATCTTACACCTTTGGAACAATAACAAAAATAGTATTTTGAAAAGGAAGGAACAGCCAGATCATGATGAACTGTGCATGCAAATTTCAAATCAAATTTTTTAAAAGAAAGTACCTTAAAGTACCTCAAAATCTGGATCTTTAATCTCATCTTGAACACTATGTTTTTTTTTCTTTTTTTTCTTTTTTTTGGTTGGCTGTAGAGATTGAATTCTGGGCCTGGGACTATCTCAGAGCTCTTTTTACTCAAAACTAGTGCTCTACCACCTTGAACTCCAACTCCACTTCGAGTTTTTGAGTGGTTAACTGGAGGTAAGAATCTCATGGTGACTTTTCTGCAATTCTCAGATCTCAGCCTCCTGAGTAGTCAGGATTACAGGCATGAGCCACTGGTGACCAGATGAACACTCAACTCAAGTATTTTCTACACATTTTAATCAACATATATAATCAAAATAAGCAGAACATTAGGAAATAATATGTTCATACTTTCAAACTACCAGTGTAAAATGTATTTATCAAGACAATAATTTGATGTTTATAATACCAAAGGTATAACAGAAAAATGTAAAAATTAATTTAATACTTTAGTATTATTCTTTGAGTCATATTTTCTTTTTTTTTTTTGGGTCCGGTCGTTGGGACTGAACTCTGGGCCTGGGTGCTGTCCCTCAGCTCTTCAGCTCAAGGCTAGCGCTCTACCACTTGAGCCACAGTGCCACTTCCACCTTTTTTCTTTTTGCCTATGTGGTGCTGAGGAATCGAACCCAGGGCCTCAGGCATGCAAGGCTAGCACTCTACCACTGAGCCACCTTCCCAGCCCCCATACTTTCATTTACTGTAAGCATAACTAAAGGACATTGTGAATACATTAAGATTTACCTGTTATATCATGTGTCAAAGGCTCATCTATCGTTTCCAGCAACTGAACAGAAGACTGCTGCAGAGAGTCATCAGAGTCACCAGCTGTAGCTCCCACATCGTCCCCCACTGGTCCTTCCTCCATGGCTTCTGCAGCTACTGGAGCCAACAATTCCCCTGTATTTGATGAGAGAAGCCTAAGCACTTGAAAAATATACACATTCTTATTATCGCTATTTATTTAACAAATAAAGAAAACATAGAGGCAGTGATTTTCTCGGTGTCCTATAAAGAACTAGGTAAGCAGCATGCCACTGGTATTGAAAACGTCTAAAAGCTAACAATGTCAACATAATTAATACAAAAGTAATATTAAATAGTTGCTAATATTATAACATTGTTCAAAAGAACTCTTATGTTTTTGGGGGGGGTTTTTTGGGTCCGGTCGTGGGGCCTGAACTCTGGGCCTGGGCGCTGTCCCTCAGCTCTTCAGCTCAAGGCTAGCACTCTACCACTTGAGCCCCAGCGCCACTTCCAGCTTTTTTCTTTTTGCTTATATGGTGCTGAGGAATCGAACCCAGGGACTCAGGCATGCAAGGCAAGCACTCTACCAATGAGCCACCTTCCCAACCCAGAACTCTTATGTTTTTAAGTTGCAATGTCCTTCAAAGAGTATTGTAACAAAGAACGACAACTTAATTGATATACCAAAGAAAAAATACTGACAAACCTGCTAATATATCCTGTAGCATACAAGTCAAGGAATACTGAGCCCATGCACCACCCCAAGATATGTCTCCTCTATTGAAGTCAGTTCCAACCAAAAGTAACAGCAGTCTTTCCAGTTGTGGTTCATTCACAATCTCACACAAATGAATAGTTGGCCTTGTGGCATTTGCAATGCGTGCAAGAACCTGTAATACATTTTACAGAATCATAACTATCACAATTAAAAACTAATACTAGCCAATACGCAGGTAGTGGAAACATGTTTCTTAGGAGGAGGGAAAGGGGGAGCACGTGAATGGAAGGAGGAAGGATGAGCAAATGCAATTATTATAGTCAATGTACACTGAGTAAAAACTTAACTATGTAACCTGAGGGTAGGAATGGGAGGGGGAAAACAGAAGAGAATAACAGAAGAGGTGACATGGTCAAGATACATTATATTCATGACCTGACTTTCGGAATTGTAACCTCTTTGTACAACTACTTATTAATAAAATTTCAAAAAGAGAAAGCATAAAAATGCATAAATAAATTGCAATCAATCAACACTTTGGCACTTTGGTAATGATTCATGTATGATTTTAGTGTCAAATAGTCCCTTAAGAACTGGTATCAATGGGCTGGGAAGGTGGCTCAGTGGTAGAGCGCTTGCACTGCATGCATAAGGCCCTGGATTCGATTCCTCAGCACCACATAAGCAAAAAGAAAAAAAGCCAGAAGTGGTGCTGTGGCTCAAGTGGTAGAGCGCTAGCCTTGAGCTAAAGAGCTGAGGAACAGCGCCCAGGCCAAGAGTTCAGGCCCCACGACCGGACCGCCCCCCCCCCAAAAAAAAGAACTGGTATCATAACACAAGACAAAGAATGTTTTCCACCGGTCGCCGGTGGCACAAGCCTGTAATCCTAACTACTCAGGAGTCTAAGATCTGAGAATCACAGTTCAAAGCTGAGACTTTTATCTCCAATAAACCACTAGAAAAGCAGAAGTGGTGCTGTGGCTCAAGTGGTAGAGAGCTCGCCTTGCGCTGAAGAGCGCAGGGACAGCGCCCAGGCCCAGAGTTCAAGCCCCACTACCGACCAAAAAAAAAGATGGGGGGGGAGGGGGGAGGCTGGGAAGGGATGTGAAGGGTAAACCAAAGGAGGAGGCTGCAATGCTTGGTAAGAAATGTATGCATTATCCTGCCCATGTAATTGTAACCCCTTTGTACAGTATGTTTACAAATAAAATTAAATTAAATTAAAAAAAAGAATGTTTTCCTAGAAAGAAGCTCCTGTCAAAAAAAAAAAAGGTGGGGTTGGGCGGAGGCAATCACTTAAAATAGAATAGGAAAATATATAATCAAATAGATTAAATATCAAGTCAGAGTGGAATACCTAAAAATCATATCTATTAAAAAAAAAGAACATGCCAGAAGAAAGCAGTCATAGCCAGGCACCAGTAGCACCTGTAATCCTAGCTCAGGAGGCCAAGATCTGAGGATCACAGTTCAAAGCCAGCCCAGCAGAAAAGTCAGTGAAATTCCAATCTCCAATTAACCACCAGAAAACCAGAAGTGGTGCTGTGGCTCAAAGTGGTAGAACACTAGCCTTGAGCAAAAAGAGCTCAGGGACAGTGCCTAGACCCTGAGTTCAAGTCCCATGATCGACCAAAAAGGAAAGAAAAAAGGAAAAAAAGAAAGAAAGAAAGAAAGAAAGAAAACAGTCTTTTTTTTTGGGGGGGGGTGGTCATGGGGCTCAATGCTAGAGCCTACCACTTGAGCCACAGTGCTACTTCCAGTTTTTTTTTGCTTATGTGGTGCTGAGAAATCGAACCCAGGGCCTCATGCATGCAGGGCAAGCAGTCTACCACTGAGCCACCTTCCCAGCCCAAGAAAACAATCTTGACAATAAAAGTCTTTAGGAAAAAATCGTTTGACATATATGTATATATGTATATTGGCTATTTTAATTAAGATAACAAAAGCAAGTCTGAAATAAGTATTCCCAAATTATTTATATTTCAAGCCCTCAAAATATAAACCAATTAAACTTTAAACCATTTCCCTTAGGAATATGTCTTAAAAAATGTTTAACCTAAGTAATTGTAAAACAACAAAACCAAAGGAGTTATAATTTTTCTTAATCAAAATCAATTTAAAACATCATGCATTCTAAGTACATTCTTGGACCCTATATACTTACAGATTATACATAGTAGTTGACTTACCTTACAAACAAATAGTAAGAGATCTGCATGACATGTAAAATCCATTGAGAGGAGAAATAAAACAAGTTTTTGGACTACTGAAATACAACGTTCATGTGCCAGAGTAAATGGCAGTGGCTCTATCTCAGGACTTTCTTTTGTTGTTGTAACTTCTGTGTCTATATTTGAACGGGACCATTCTGCTGTCCGACGCAAACGTATTAAATCTTTGAAGTGCTGGATAAAAAATTTATAGTAATAAAATCACTGATTAGTTCATGAAAATTATCAGTATATATTTATACATGAAAGGAAAATATTAACATACAACATCTAACAAAAATTTTACATAAACCATACATTCAAAGGTAAAGTTTATTAAAATCTATAATCAATATTTCCTAGTGAGGCTAAGCTGATTAGTATATAACAGAATTTCAGAAAAGTAAAATTCTACAAAAAGGCCATTGGAAAATATTAGGCCAACTCTACCAATTTAAGTAAATATTTTCAAAACATCCTAAATGTAATTTATACAAAGTTGGTGATAAAGAAAACTGTTTTTCTTTTTTTTTTTGGGGGGGGGGGTGGTGAGGGTCAGTCGAGGAGCTTGAACTCTGGGCCTGGGTACTGTCCATGATTCCTCAGATCTCAGCCTCCTGAGTAGCTAGGATTACAGGAGTGAGCCACCAGCACCCGGCTAACTTTTTAACCTGGCAAGGCAGTGTTTTCCTGTAATTTTAACAGAGACAAAAGGATAATGATTTGAGGCCAAACAACCTATGTCAAAAACACAATAAGATGGTACACACCACGATCTCACCTACTCAGAAGACTGATAGATGAGGCCTAAATCTAACAGGACTAGCTCAAAATAGTAGAGTACTTTGAGTTAAATCCTTATTACAAAAAAAAAAACAATAGAAAACACACTGATTTTCAGTACAATGTTATTGTAATTAGTCTAAAATGTACGCTAGTTCCATATTTATAGAAACAGGGGCTGGGAAGGTGGCTCAGTGGTAGAGCACTTGCCTTGCATGCCTGAGGCCCTGGGTTCGATTCTTCAGCACCACATAAGCAAAAAGAAAAAAGCCGGAAGTGGCGCTGTGGCTCAAGTGGTAGAGCGCTAGCCTTGAGCTGAAGAGCTGAGGGACAGCGCCCAGGCCCAGAGTTCAGGCCCCACAACCGGACCCAAAAAAAAAAAAAAAAAAAAAAAAACCATATTTATAGAAACCAAACTTTTTGACATATGCACATATATATATATACAAACACATATGTACATATTATACACCAAATTATTATTCTTAAATTGTATGAGGCTCTTTTTGAGACCAGTTCTTATCATGTAGTCCTGGCTGGACTTGAACTCACAATCCTCCTGCCTGAGGCTAGGCTCCCAAGTGCTAGGACTATAGGCGTGTGGCATCATGCCAGGCAATTTTTAACTACTACTTACATATCACATTAAATCTGCATTTGCATGTGGAAAAGTCAAGCTACATTCAGGTTTGTGTATCAGTAGATCCAAAACAAGTTTCTGTTCTAAACCACTGAAAATCTTTCAAAACAAAACTAAGGGAAACAGAGATGTCAAAGTTTTTACTTTAAATAGATTTTATTTTTTTAAATGGCATCAATGGTTGTTCTGTACACTTGTGTATTAAACTATGACAGTACCAAATAGGACCTTCAAATGCTATCTGGGAAAAACTGTCTATTGATTCATATCTTCAATTTAATCTACCTCAATCCACTTGAAGGTAATACACTGGGAACAATAAAGCCCTATGTTTATATTTGAGTTAAAAGCTAACAGATTTTCTATTGATAAGCAGAACAAATTATGTTTAAATCTGCTAATCTTGATAAAAGATTACCTTAAAAATTAAAAAATACTAAAAAGAAAATCACTATTCTGAGATATTACATTAAAAAGCATATATCATACCTTTGAAGTAGCCTGCTTTAGTTTTGCTTGCTCTACCAGGAGTTTATATGATGATCCTTTATTACTTTGTATTTTTTCTTTCTCCATCTGTTCCACCAAAGCCTTCTGCTTTGCTTTTAGTAGGTTAAGTTGCTTAAAATAAAAATAAACTTGATCTTAAAAATAACAATGTTAAAGTGAACGGAGGGGTAAAAATGCCCAAGAAGCATTGTACTTATAACCTGACATGAAATTGTAACCCTTTGTACAACTCCTTAATGATAATTTAATGTTAAAAACAAAAACTGTAAATCATTATAATCCTCTCATGTAGTAATGAGACACATAGGAATATATATGTGTTTTGTTTTGTTTTTTGGCCAGTATAGAGGCTGAACTCAGGGGTTGGTACTATTGCTTTCTTTCTCTCCTCTACCCCCACAATTTCCCTTAGCTCACAGCCTGCCCTCTACCATTTGGGCCACACCTCTACTTTCACCTTATGGCTGGTTAATTGGATACAGTGACTAAGGCCAGTGATCTTAGCTACTTAGGAGGGAGATACTGGGAGGAACTTCAGTTTACTGCCAGCCCAGTCAAAATGATAGTAAGACTCCATCTCAATCAATAAGGTGCCATGGCCAGACACTGGTGGCTCATGCCTATAATCCTAGCTACTCAGGAGGCTGAGATCTGAGGATCTTTGAACAAGCCAGCCCAGGTAAGAAAGTCCTTTGAGACTCTTATCTCAAATAAACCACTAGAAAACTGGAAGTGGCGTTGTGGCTCAAGCAGTAGAGAGCTTGCCTTGAGCTGAAGAGCGTAGGAACAGCACTCAAGCCCAGAGTTGAAGCCCCACGACTGACCCAAAAAGAAAAAAGAAAAAAGGGTGCCATGGTGGTACACACCTGTCACTCCAGCTATGCAGGAATGTAATAGGAGTATCACAGTCTAAACTAGTCGGGATAAAAATGAGGGATCCTATCCAAAAAGTACATCAAAAAATAAAAATAAATTAAAAAAAAACACTAGAAATGTGGTAGAGTGCCAGCCTAGCAAGTGGAAGACAATGAGTTCAAATTCCAGTACCACCTCCATAAAAAACAATCAGAGAATCATCAAGACTGTTGTACAAGCAAACTCTATACTATTTTTTTTTGAGGGTTGTGGGGCTTGAACTCTGGGCCTGAGCACTGTCCTCAGCTTTTCAGCTCAAGGCAAGAGCTCCATCACTTGAGCCACAGCACCACTTCCCATTTTCTGAGTGGTTTATTGGAGCTGAGAGTCTCATGGAATTTCCTACCCAGGCTGGCTTTGATCCTCACTGAGTAGCTAGGATTACAGGTGTGAGCCACCAACGCCCAGCTACTCTATATTTTTAATAGTAAAAAGAAACTGTTTACTTTTAAAATGTTTAGAATTTTTAAAGGATTCTTAGTTTTGCTTTGATAGGAATTTCCATAGAGAATAGTAAATATATTGGTGTGACTGTGTTTAATGGTTTTTTTTAATTCAAATAACCACAGACTTACATGCAAACTTTGAGAAAGAGTGTATCTTAGCCCGACACCAGTAGCTTAGGTCTATGATCCACCAGTAGCTTAGGTCTATGATCCTAACTACTCAGGAGGCTGACATCCAGAGGTTCAAAATTCAAAGCCAGCCAGTACAGTAAATTCTATGAGACTTCATCTCCAAAAATGATCAACAATAAGTAAGACTGAAGGTATGGCTCATGTAGCAGAGTTCAAAGTAAGCCCTTCCTTCAGTTCAAACCCAAGCATGACCAAGAATGGAGAAAAAGGAGGGAAGGAGGGAAGGAGGGAGGGAGGGAGGGAGGGAAGGAGAGAAGGAGGGAGGGAGGGATTAAGGGAGGCAGGAAGGAAAGAAGGCCAGCTCTTTATAGGAGGACCCAGCAAGAGGTGGCATCTTTAAAGCAAAGAAGCCTTCTAAACACTCGATTTGATAGTGTATTGATTTTAGATGTCCCTGCCTCACACTTGCTAGGCAAATGCTCTACCACTGAACTATATCACTATCGTGCACTGATGCTTGTTAAATCAATTAGACAGTGTCAGTGGAAACATCTAAAGCAATATAAATGCAACAGAATTCCATAAACTCCTGAGTGACCCATTACTGAACTGACCAGATCAACTTCTGATGTTCTCAACATCCTGACAATGATCACCAAAGGCCTCTAATGCAGAAATCTCCAAGTCCAGTATATTAGGCTTGGATACTCAAAACATACATTCTCCAACTGCTTACTCTAATTATATTTTCGACTGGGAGACCCACAGTTAAAATATGCAACAAGTATAATCAAAAGAAAATATAATTTTAAATGAAATTAATTTTACTTATTGCTGAATTGCATTTTTTTCTAAATTATCTGAGAGTAAGTTAGCAAACTGACATTCAGTCACCCTAAATATATTAGGGTTTATTTCCTAGAAATAATATCTTTTAATAAACACAATACAATCATCAAAATAATACTACTACTCTACCAAAAACTATTTCTTACACAACTTTCTAGTTTTACCAGTGAAATAATGTCCATAACAAAGAACTAAATAGTAACATTTTAAAAAGATGTGACAACAGGGTTTTGTTTTCAAATTTCATACACAAAATTAACTGTAGCAAGCATATATGTTATGCCCAATAAATTTAAGTTGAATTTGAAAGAATGCAAGTTTCTAAAGATCAGTTAAAAGTACTTAAGAAGGGCTAGCACCAGTGGCTCATGCATGTAATCCCAGCTATTCAGGAGGCTGAGATCTGAGCATTGTAGTTCAATGCCAGCTTGAACAAAAAAAAGCTGGAAGTGGTGCTCTTGCTCAAGTGGTAGAATACTAGCCTTGAGCAAAATTAAGCTCAGAGTCAGAGTCTAGGTACTACAGAAAAAAATGCACTTCACATTGTTGGAAAGCATCAGTTATCAAGTTTATAGATCAAAAACAAGAGAAAAATATTTTATGCCCATTCCAATGTTGAAAAAAACAGGCTCAAAGCTTTCTTCACCATGATAAATCACGATTTTTATATGAAATTTAATTTCACCTTAAGTAACTTAGACAAACATTACTTAACACATAGGAACTATTACAGGAATAGTGTTTCTGTAGAAAAGGGTACTTTTTTTTTTATCCTGGTATTAGGAAGATGCAAAGCATATACTCTACCATAAATCTCTAGAATAAGAATGTTTTTGTTTTACAGTAAGTATACTTAAGTCTTTACTCTATTTGCTGAGATTAAAAAAAAAATAGGAACAAAAACATAAGCCAAAAACTAAAGGGTTCATCAACATGAAAATATTTAGGAACAAAGAATGGAATAGTATTCAGCAATAAAAAAGTAAACTACTGATATACTCAATGTAAACCTCAAAAATAGCATTTTAAGAAAAAGAAACCATCAAGAAAAGAATACCTACTACATAATTCACAAACAATGCCTTAGAAAATCATTTAATAGGCCCAGGGTGGCAATCTCCACCTATAATCCCAGTTACTGCGAAGTGGGAAAGGAAGGGTCTTGGTTTAAGACTAACCCACATAAAAGTTAATAAAACCCCATCTCAAACAATAAACTAGATGTGGCGACTCACACCTGTCATCCCAACTACAGGGCAGGTGTAAAAGGAATTGTAGTCCAGGTAAGCAAAAATAAGAGACAATATCAGAAAAGTAAGGGAAAAAAAGGTATGACTCAACTGGTGGAAAACCTACCTGATAAGTTCAAAGCCCTGACTACAAAACCTGATTATCACCAGAAAAAAAGAAAAAGGACCAAATACTCTCAATGGAATGCACAAATCTCAAGTTAACAAAATAAAGGAATTGAACAAAAACACAGGATGATGAAAAGAGGAATTCAGGGAATCTATGGAACAAATTACATGGGAGTAAAAATCTGAATTAGTTATAAACAAAGGAATGAAAGTATAACTATACTAGCGAAGCATGATTCCCAGCACTGAAGAACAGAGGATGTTTGAAAGGGAGAGAAGAAAGAAGCATGGAGAAAAAGAAAGGACCATAAATTCAGTATTACTTAATATTTAAAAGTAAAATTAAAATATACAAGTTCGAAATGCAGACGATAGTGTCTGTCATCTGAAGATCAACCAGAAGACACTGAGTATTTATGGAAGGAATGGTACAATAAGGTTTTTATGTTAAAACAACCATTTAAGTAACAGCACTGAAAGTAGATCAGACTAAAGGAAGAAAAGGAGCGGAGAGGCCTAGGCAAAAGAAATGGTGATTACACTTACAATGGGTATAAGAGACATAAAAAGAAGTAAACTAGCTAGCTGGGCACATGGCACACACCTATAATCCCAGCTTCTTGGAACTTGAGATCAAGGTGATAGAGATCCATGGCCAGCTTGGAAACAAAAGACTTGAGACTCATTCTTGAGACTCCCTTCTTAACAAATTACTTGAGCATGGAAGTATGATCAACTTATTCCAGCTATAAGGGAAGCATAAATAGAAGGATTGCAGTCTAGACCAGCCAGGCAATGTAGACCCTAAACCAAAAAATAATTACAGTGATCCACATTATTGGGGCATGGCTTGAGTACTAGTGCCTACCTACCAAGTACAAGGCTTTTAGTCCAAACCCCAGAAACACCAAAACAGAAAAGGTAAAGAGTTTAAAGAACATAAAAAAAAAAAACATACAAAGAAGGTATATTGCCTTTTTACAAATAAGGTCTCTAAATTATCAAACCATCTCCCTAAAGTAACTCATACCTATGATCTAAAAGCATATGTATCTTACAATAACCCAAAAATCACATCTCAAACATTTAAATAAAAAGTTTCCAGCTTTTACCTGTTTATGATGAACAAGCTGCTTTCGGATTTTTCTGGAATATAATCTATCAAGACTACTGCTGCCTTTGGAAGATCTACTTAAGCTCTGAGTATGCAGATTATTGTTAATGAAACTCCACTGGTTACCTACAATGGAAGAAGAAGTTATAGTAATAATTTTGATCAGCATAATTTTAAAATACCTTTCTTACATAAAAAACTTCTAAGAACCACTATCAAAAAAATCAAGGCAAACATAAATTATTAGAAGAACTGCCAAAGACAATGACTGCCACTACTTTTACTGATAGTTTAAATTAAAAATTCTTTAAAGTCTCATTCACCCATTGTTAAAGATTGGTCTTTGTACAACACAGCTTTGAGAATGTGACTCAGTTATTGCAAATACACAAGCTATGTATTTTTAGAGGCAAAAGAAACCCAGACTCTGAATAATTTCATTAATAACTGCCAACGTAAGGTTAATGATTTAAAAACCAGGCTATAGAGCTACATTTCTTTTATTTTGGAATGTGTCCAGTCAATGAGTTATTCTTTGTGAAAGTCAGGCCAAATACTATAGTTTATCTATCTCTAATTCACTGTTAAAAAGTTGCTTAACATTACATCTTTTCACCTTCTCTACTATACATGTATCAAGTGTTACTTCAAATCATCAAATCTTAAAAACATTCAACCAGGCCAAGGAATAGTGGCCTGTAATCCTAGCTTCTAAAGACTGTAATCTGAGGCTCATAAAAAAAGGCAGCCCAAGCAGGAAAGTCCATGCAATTCTTATCTCTAATAAACCAGCAAAAAGCTGGAAGTGAAGCCATGGCTGAAGTGGCAGAGCACAAATCCTTAAGCAAAACAAAAACAAAAAACAAGCTTAATGACAGCACCCAAGCCCTGAGTTCAAGACCCAATACCAGCACTTATTAATTCTGAATGCTACCTATTATATGCCAAATTTATGTTGTAGTTATTTTTGAATAATATATCTTACTACTATATCCATAACTGAGTAAACTAATAGGTCATATTTCAAAAACCAGCATTAAAAAATTTCTTATATAGGGCTGGGAAGGTGGCTCAGTGGTAGAGTGTTTGCCTTGTATGCATGAGGCCCTGGGTTTGATTCCTCAGTACCACATAAGCAGAAAAGGCCAGAAGTGGCACTTTGGCTCAAATGGTAGAGTGGTAGCCTTGAGCTGAAGAGCTGAGGGACAGAGTCCAGGTCCAGAGTTCGGGCCCCAAAACCGGCAAAAAAAAATTCATATATGATAATACTTTCATCTTTCAAGACATATTATGTACCATTAACAGTGATAAAATACTTCAATGGAACTTTTAAAATAATGATAATGTGTAGAACTCCCAATTTTATGAACCTAGATGGAGATATTCTACATCAGATTTGGATACCTCAAATCTTTCATAAAAATCATTCATCAACTGGAATAAGAAGAAGAAAACCTTTGGTCTTGACAAGTAAATTTCCTTTAATTTTTAAGTCAGTTTGTGGTTCAAGAATTTTATTAAAGTTACAATTAGGAAGTGGAGGTGTGGCTTAAGTGGTAGAGTACCAGGCCCTGAGTTCAACCCTCAGTACAAGTACAAAAAAAAAGTCACAAGTAAAAGAAAAATAAATCTATGCCAAGCACTGGTGGCTAATACCTGTAATTCTAGCCACTCAAGTGGCGAAGTTTGAAGACAGCTCCTATAAAAAAGTTCCTGAGACCCTTATCTCCAATGAACCATCAAAAAGGTCAAAGTAGAACTTTTGCTCAAGTGGTAGAGAACTATCCTTGAGCAAAAAAGCTCAGGCAATGCTGGCTCATGCCATAATAGTAGTTACTCAGGAGTATGGGATCTGAGGATTTTCAGCCAACTAAGGCAGGAAAGACCATTGTGAGACTCTTATCTCCAATGAATACCAAAAAGCCAGAAGTGGGATTGTGGGTAGAACAATAGCATTAAGCACTAAAGCTCAGGTGCAATGCCCAGGCCTTCAGTTCAAGCCAAAGGACTGGCACACGCACAGGCACATGAGCGTGCGCATGCACGCGCGTGCGCGACACACACACACACACACAAATCTAGAGTATGTAAAGACTATTGTATTACTCAATAATGATAAAAAAAGAGTAACATAAAATACTAAAATCAAATTTAAAAATAGAAACCATACATTTCTGCTTCATAACATCCTTCTATATATGGTATTCTAATATATTTAAAGAATTAATGCAATATGCTAATTAAAGTCTTAGGGTGCTAGTGAAAAAGATGAAAAAGACCATAATTCAAAGTCAGCCCTGGCAAGGAAGTCTGTAAGACCTCATCTCCAATTAGTTAGCAAAAGGCCACATTCAGAGGCAAGTGGGCTCTGAGTTCTAACCCCATTATTTACAAAGAAAAAAAAAATTAAATGATAGAGAAAAAGATTTAACCTCCACCACAGCACAACGAGGTGGGGAGGGAGGGAGGGACAAGGAAGGAGAGGAGGGAGGGAGGGAGGGAGGAGAGGGAGGGAAATAAGGATGGGAGACGTTAATCCTAGCTACTCAGGAGGTTACAATCTGAGGGCTCAAAGCTAGCCCCTACAGGAAAGTCTTTGAAGATTATTTCCAAATAATAAACAAAAATCTGAAAGTGGAGGTATGGGTCAAGTGGCAGAGTGATAGCTTTGAGCACAAAAGCTCAGGGACAGTGACCAGGCTGAGTTAATGCCCCAGAACCAGCACAAGAAACTAACAAAAAAGTTTGTGAAACACACTGATTTATTCTGAAACTAAAACTGACATCCAGACAAAAAATGACCTTCATTAAATACAAATTCTACCTATAAACAGATTCCTAAAGAGTTAACTAAAATAAATTACATACTGCTGGTATCTTCAGGCCAACAACCAGTTCTGGAACAAATGCGAAGTCACTCAAAATCCCCACCAACATATCATTATAAACTTCTGATACCTGTCAGAAGCCTCTCCCTGTCTTTACCATTCAAAGGTTTCTTTGTAGCGGTAGCTTCATCTTCAACAGTTGCAACATAATCTAGCAATCTGGACACCAACATAACAACCCAACTTATCATGGGAATGTCTAGTACTCCTAGAATTAAAAAGGGAAACCCAAGTAACTATAACAGTCCTAAAGAGGTCTGACAACAAACATATTACAAGTCCAGAAATACCATTACTAGTGATAATATACATTTCAGAATTACTCTGAAAAATAATAAATGACAGCTATTTCTTGACACAAAAATAGCAAACGCAGTCATTATAGCCAACGGACATTATATAAAAAGTAAACTATGCAACTTGAGGGGAGGGGGAAAATGGCAGAGAATGACGGAAGGAGTTAACAATGACCGAGAAGCATTGTACTTATAACCTGATCGATGGAATTGAAATCCCTTTTATGACTACTACTACTACTATTACAACTAAAATAGAAGGCTGGGCTGGGAAGGTGGCTCAGTGGTAAGAGCGCTTGCCTTGCATGCATGAGGCCCTGGGTTTGCTTCCTCAGCACCACATAAGCAGAAAAAGCAGGAAGTGGTGCTGTGGCTCAAGTGGTAGAGCACTAGCCTTGAGCTGAAGAACTGAGGGACAGTGCCCAGGCTTCATAACCGTCAAAAAAATAAATTAAATAAAATAGGTGTGCCCTGAATCCAACAGGTAATAATTTATGAACTGGAATAAAAAGCCCTAAGAATAAAACATCTAAATCAATTTACAATTCATATAGTACAAAATTATATTCTAAAGTTTATATTCTTTTTATTTTCTTGATCAAATAAAGCATCACATTGAGCACTATAGCAACTGTGTCTTAAAGTTTCAATTATATAAGAAACTCTGATTTTGTTCTAATAGTATAGAAAAAATATATTGCTATCATTTAAAACATCAAAGCTGCTAGGTGCTGGTGACTCACGCCCATAATCCTAGCTACTCAAGAAGCTGAGATGTGAGAATCACAGTTTGAAGGCAGCATGAGCAGGAAGGTATATGAGGCTCTACAAGTAACCAGAAAAAAAGCCTCTAGTGGAGCTGTGGCTCAAGTGGTAGAGAGCTAGCCTTGAGCACAAAACATCAGGGGCAGCATCTAGGCCCTGAGGTCAAGCCCCAGGACGAATATAATAAATAAAATATTCATAAGGATATTGTGTAAGAACCTTAAGCTTGTACTTAATGTAGCTGGTTTATATGAATATAATACCTTCTGTCCTCCTATGCATGGGTAACTCTGGCTGAAGAGGTGATAATAAATTATCCAAGAGATTAAGTAAGCTTTCCAATACTCCACAATTACTCAGTGATCTCTGACCAATGCAGGAAAGTAACATGAAGACCCTAAAAAAAGAAGATAAATAATATGAGCAGCAAGAATCAACTTGCTTGTCTTCATAAATAATTTAAAATAAAAGTTAAAGTATTAAAGAAGATATCTCTCTTAAAACTTTACTATTTCTTATGAAACAGTAACCCCTTTGTACATCACTTTTATACTAACAGTAAATTTTTTAATGCATATTTCTGGTTTGTGAAGAAAGATTTACATGCAAATATAAATTAAATATTAAAATAAACTTTTTCCCTCGTTATTGCTTTTTAGTTGATTTTAGTGTTATCTATAGGAAATCACCCATTGAGTAGTCAATCACAGAACTTTAAACCTTAAAAATAAAGATAGGCATAGTGACTCATACTATAACCCTAGTTACTTGGGAAGACTACAACCCAAGACCATCCCAGGCAAAAAGTTCATGAGGTCCCTATCTCAACAGAAAAACTTGAGCTTGAAGCTGTATCTTCTAGCTTCATAGGAAACATAAATAGGAGGGTGGCAGACCAGATTAGCCCAGACAAAAAGCTAGACCCTATCTCAAAAATAACCTAGAGTAAAAGGGCTGGAGGCAGGGTTCAAGTGGCAGATCTCTTATCTAGCAAGTGCAAACCGTAATACAAAAAAAAAAAAAAAAAAAAGTCACATCTAACCATAAAGTAATATGATCTGATTGGAAAAAAAAAAAGCCTATAAATCAGACCTGTAACTTTGATAGACTCAACTAGAAAAACCAAACAGTATAAGACTATATATAATATTCAACACAATGCTGGGGCTCTTTACTGGGAATTGTCAAAAGACTTAAAAAACCTGTTTTCTAAGCTGGGCACCAGTGGCTCATGCCTGTAATCCTAGCTACTCAGGAGGCCCAAGCAGAAAAGTCTGTGAGACCATTATCTCTAATTGACCACCAAAAAACTGGAAGTGGTGCTGTGGCCCAAGTGGTAGAATGCTCGCCTGCTTTTTCTCCATATTTAGTACCCAGATAAGCAAGCTTTGAAAAGCTGAACAATAAAATCTAGGGAAATATCTCAATGAGAGTGCCAGTTACCACTTACAAGCCCCCAACACTACAAGCAAATAAATGAATGAGTGAATAAGTAAATAAATAAGTAAATATTCAAACCGACTGTGAGAATTACAAATTACTAGTAACAAATACTAACGCTTTCTGACCTACCTATCCTGTGGAAAGATGAGAAGCTGCTCTGAATTGTACAATTCCTGAAGAACATTGGAAAGGAACTGACCCCACCATCTTTCACCACCACATAATTGAACCAACAAAAGGCCAGTATGGAGCCGTATCTTTGGGGTTCCGCTGATGCACAAGTGTTTAAAGAGTTCTTCACAGGCCTGAGCATGAAATGTACTCTGCAGAACTGCTGGGACAGAGTGGCCTATTACGAGAGAGAAAACATCAAGACTTCATCCGTAGTATATGGTGGCTGATCCCATTCCATTTACACTACTATTGATTCCTTGCTAAATATTTAGAGAGAAAAAGAGCAATAAATTTTATCAGATTGCTGTGATTTAACAGATATATGTGTGATCTTTTTTTCTTTTTTGGGGTCGGTCATGGGGATTGAACTCAGGGCCTAGGCACTGCCCCTGAGCTTTTTAACTCAAAGCTGGTACTCTACCATTTTAAGCCACAGAGCCACTTCCTGTCTTCTAGTGGTGAATTGGAGATAATAATCTCATAGATTTTCCTCCCCCAGACTGGCTTAAAACTGCAACCCTCAGATCTCAGCCTCCTGAGTAGCAAGGATTACAGGCATGAGCCACCAGTGCCCAGTTTTACAAGTGATTTGACAAAAAAATAAATAACTGCAGATAGTCAGGCATTGTGGCACATGCCTATTATCTCATCTGGGAGACATAGTACATACACAATGGTGGGGGGGG